TCCGTCTGGTGTTCCCAGACGTTAGGTACCGTCCCTGACCTCTTCACAGATTCGGTAGGGTCCTTCCCAGTTGGGAGTTAGTTTGCCAGACTCATTAGCCCTACCAACTGCTTCCATTTTTCTTAGTACAAAGTCCCCCACTTTGAGTGGACGCCTGTGTACTTTTTTGTTGTATGATCTAGTCATTCTCAGGCAGTAAATTTCATGGCGCAAGACAGCATTGCCCCTCCTTTCAGGAAGTGAGTCTAATGCCAGGCGCATGGCTTCCCAGTTTGCCTCTTCGTCATATAGCATTACTCGAAGAGTCGGCTCGTAGTGTTCTATTGGAAGAACAGCTTCCGCACCATAAGTTAGGAGGAATGGAGTTTCTCTAGTCGCCCCTTTTTCAGTCGTCCTAATGGCCCAGAGAACATGTGGTAATTCATCCGCCCATAGGCCGCCTGCTCGTTCAATCTTTTTCTTGAGACCGTCTGAGATGATTTTATTAAAGGCTTCTACCTGGCCGTTTGCTTGTGGACGGCCGACAGATGCAAAGTAGTGTGCAATTCCTTGGTCACCCAACCAGCTTTTGAGAACAGACGTCTCAAATTGGGGACCATTATCAAAAACCATAGACATGGGAACCCCGAACCGAGTGATGACATTTTTCCAAATGAATGAAATTACATCCTTCGTCTTGATTCCCTTTACAGCCTCCGCCTCTACCCATTTAGTGAAGTAGTCGACGGCAACAAGTATGTACCTCCTTCCGCCTGTAGCAGGCGTATATGGACCCAGAATATCCATGCCCCACTTAGCAAACGGTAGTGGGCTATGAATGGTAGTGAGGTCAGTAGCCGGACGGTGAATTAGTTTGCCAAACCTTTGGCACTTGTCACATTTTTTCACCATCTCCATTGCATCTGCTTCTAAAATAGGCCAAAAGTAGCCCTGCCGCCTTGCCCGTTGAGCAAGCGTCCTACCGCCTATATGGGAAGCACAGTAACCAGAGTGAAGATCGTCTAGTATCTCTCGTCCCTTTTCTGGAGTAACACACTTTAAGAAGGGTTGAAGCCACCCTCTTTCGGACCAAATCAAATTTGAAGGTCGACCCGTCTTTGAGACCTCTGAAAAAGTCAGTATAGGCTACTTCATCCGGTAACCCTTGAATCTGTATTCTCATCAGGTTAAACCGCCTGATGTAAGAACGAAGCCCCTCCTTCTCGCCCTGCTGAATTGTTCCTAAATCAAGGGTCGTCTTCTTCGCAGGGATGTTCATGGCGAAGTTGGAGGTGAATAAGTAAGCAAGCGTCTTGAAGTTATTTACACAACCAGTTGGCAGGTTGCCGAACCATTGTTGTGCGATTCCTTTGAGAGTCGCTGGGAAACACTTGCACCATGTGGGATCATCCAACCCTTGAAGGTACATCAGGTTGGTGAATGCCATCAGATGGTCTTCTGGGTTAGTAGTGCCGTCATAGGCGCCTACTAATACATTTTTCACTTTGGCCGGCTGAGCGGCTTCAATAATTTCCTTGGAGAAGGCCGACGGATGTTCACCAAGTCTAAGCAACCGTAGCTGCCAGTCCATAGGTTGGACATTTTTTGCTGCATGTCCACCAAACGGAGGTGGCTGTAAAAAATACTGTTGTTGCGGTACAAACGGTAAGTTTGGTACCGCCTGGTCGCTATGAAAGTCGGACTGACGGGAGGTGCCGCCTGACTGACTCTCATGATACGACTGAGTATGCCTCATCGAGGTATTTTGCAGACTGTCTTGGAAGTTTGAAGTAGAGGCCGACTCTGATTATCGGTCACTCTTCTTCTGCTCTAGCAGTAGCCGAGCGTCTGTGTATGTTTTCCTCGACCCGTCCGCCTGAATATGACGAACAGGTTTTCTATTTCCTGGAGTAGGAAAACGGTATTTTGTGAAATCAAGGGCAGGTGGCTCCCACTTCCTAGATTTAGGATGAGGGGTCGCCTCTCGCCCTTGAACTGGTTTCCTCTTCCGTGAAGTGGAGGGTTTCTTAGCCGACTGCTCCTTGTCCAGAGCAGGCGGCTTTTCTTGTTGATCAACTCTTGAATTTCTCCCTTGAAGTGCCTCATGAAGGTCATGAGTTCGTTCCTTGTGATGAGAGCAGACCCATCAGTCGGCTGCTGCCGAACAGGCGGTGCGCCTGCTGGCTCGCTTCCAGTTTGAAGATGTTCCCGTTCCCTCCTTTCGGTATGACGGGCACGTCGGGCCCTTAGGGTCCCGTCTAAAGCTGTGTGAGCTTCAACTTCAAATTCATTCTCAGTATCGTGGTCCGACTGAACTAGAGGGTCGTCCAGGGGACGTCTCTCTTCAGGAGCCGGTACAAACGTGGATGCCATCTCAGAAGTACTCTCCCCGCAGACGGCGCCAAGATGTTTCGGGGTTTTCTGATGTCCTGCGGGAGAGTTACAATTCCGAGACTGGAACCGGACGCCTGTACCTGCAAAACAAACGGATGCTCCGGATGATTAGAGATCCGCCTCCGACGGTCAAGTTAGTACTTGATTAAGGAGTAATTAATGCGGAAATTAAAGTGATTGGGTCTCTCTAGGTGAGAGTGTTTAATGTGTGTAATCTGCGTTTTTAACGTGTCCTCTCCCTTAATGAGGATTAAGGGAGGTATTTATAACCTCGGGAAACGTGTCAATCTAGGTTTAGGTTAACCTTGGGCTGATTGGGCTTCCCTCGGAAGTTGGGCCTAGGTGACCGGTTATCCCAGGTGTCATGGGAAGGACACGTGTCGTGTCGTAATTGGTCCATAGTGGACGGATCATTGCTTGACACGTGGCAGGCTCCTATTGGCCCATGTGACGGACACATTGGCGAAACCTGATTGGTCCACTTGTCAGATGGTGATTGGTGGGGAAAAATCCCCTAATCAACTGGGTTGGTATTCTTTTTTTTAAACGAGTTGTTGGCCTGCGCGTGTAGCGCGCGGTCCCTTAATTTGGTGATCTATGCTCGGTGATTAATGTGTAATTAGTCGTTGTTGTATATGTAGATTATTTCTAATGTTGTATTGGTAACGGAGTCAGGTATATCTATTACCGTTGAACAAAGATGAAATTTGATGGAATGGATTGTTTTGCTGATAAATTAATGTAATATATGTGTGTGTTGATTAGCAAAATAATTTCAATAAATTACTTATGGTTTCAAAAGTAGTAGAACTCATTGTAAAATTGTTTATTCGAAATTTAATGGGTTGTTAAATGTTTTGGTGCCAAATATAGTTATTATGAATTAGAATCGAATTTAAGAGCTTTGCTTTAAACGAATTAAAATTAATCACTTGGGGCATCAAATGTTGAAAGGATACTTTTAACTCAAATGGAAAGCTATATGAATACAAAATGTCTTTGTTAACAAATTTGCATCATCATAAATAATGGCGCGCAGTCCCCCAATTTGGCGATCTCTGATTGGTTATTATCATTTAATTAGCTTATGTTTTATGTTAATCATTATTTTATTGGTTTACTTGTGATAAAGGGGATGTGAGGATTGACAAACTGGGTGGTACGATCAAGGCGATTGGAGGATTGGTAAACTGGATGTTTATTTTCCAATCAAGGCGATTGGAGGATTGACAAACCGGTGGTGCAATTAGGGTGATTGAAGGATTAACAAATTGGGTGGTGCGATCAAGGCGATTGGAGGATTGACAAACTGGGTGGTGCAATCAGGGCGATTTAAGGATTGACAAACTGGGTGTTGCGATCATGGCGGTTGGAGGATTGACAAACTAAGTGGTGAAATCAAGGCAATTAGAGGATTGACATAATATATGGGTGGTGCGATCAAGGCGATTGGAGGATCAGCAAACTGAGTAGTGCGATTAGGGCGATTGGAGGATTGCAAACTGGATGTTGCGATTAGGGAGATTGGAAGATTGGCAACATCCAATTTGCCAAATTGAAATTGAAATTCAATGGTTGAAAAATAAACTTCATCAATGGAGGATAGAAAGCTCGCCACTTTAATGGAAGTCTCGGATCTTATAAGAGGAGAAAAAAAAGTCCGTTCAAAACCAAAACTCATTTATCAAACCTTCTTCAATCGTATATGAGGAAACTGCATAAAACTAAACATTTAATAAATAATCCAATATCATAATTAATTAGAATAATAAATAAATTGAACAAGACCCAAGTATCAAAATTTTAATTGAGGGGGGATTGGAGGATTGGTAAACTGAGTGTTGCGCTCAGGGCGATTGAAGGATTGCAAACTGGTGTTGCGATCAAGGCAATTGGAGGCTTGACAAACTGGGTGGTACGATCAAGGTGATTAGAGGATTTGACAAACTCGATGGTGCGATCAAGGCGATTGGAGGATTGCAAACTAGGTCTAGTGATTATGGCGATTGGAAGATTGGCAATACCTTATTTGCCAAATTGAAATTGAAATTCATGGATTGGAAAATAAACTTCAATGGAGGAGAGAAAGCTCAATGCTTTAATAGAAGTCTCGGATCTTATGAGAAGAGAAAAATTAAAAAATCATTCAAAACCAAAACTCACTTCTCAAACCTACTTCACTCGTACTTGAGGAAAAGTGTATAAAACGAACATTTAATAAATTAAAATCAATGAAAAGCAAAAAATCGCACTGGTTTGAGGGGGCGTTTGAAGGATTGACAAACTGGGTGGTGCGATAATGGCGGTTGGAAGATTGGCAAAGTGGGTGGTGCGATCAAGGTGATTGGAGGATTGGCAAATTGAGTGGTGCGAACAACATGATTGGAGGATTGGTAAAATGAAAGCTTCTTGGACCATTTTAACGTAAATACCCACCCTCACTCAAATTATGATGAATATAGTATGGGTTGGTCTAAGTTGTAGGTAATTAATTTTTTTTTAATGTAATTCTTGGTAACTTGCGTATAAAAGAGTATGTGCCTTTGGACTATCCTTTGGACTATCAATATTGTCTTAAAAGTGTTGCCATATTGTAATATTTAAGATATAACCTGTAGGGTAGGTAGTTAGAATTACATATCTTTGCATATTGAATTGCATGTATAATAAAAGTATTAATTCTACAATCCTTTCATAATAATGAATGCTACTTCAATTTCAATTACTAATTACGTTAACGAATTTCCCATAACAATACAGAAGGGAAAAAGGGGGAAAAATCGTGAAAAATTGCACATGTTCACTCAAATGTAATTGCTACTTAAGCTATAAATTACAAGATTAAACACAAAGCATCAATGAGGTTGTTGTTCTGCAGCACACCCCACAAAAGAGTGAAGAGCCTGAACTCTTTCGACTTTTCAGAATTTTTTGAGCTTGAACTCGGTAAAGAGCCTCCTTCTCGATCTCCTCCTTATTGGCCCTGAAATTAATCAAAGCAGACCAACAATAAGAAGTATGATCATTCTCATACTCAGCTATAAACCTATCGAAATCAGCTGTCCTTACCCCGGGTTCAAATCTCATGCCTGATTATTTACTTTATTTTGCTTCAAAATGTCAGCTAACATGAAGCCAAACTCATCCTTCCAATCCCCCGCCTAATCCCCCACCTAATTTAAGAAAGGAAAAACCCCTTCAAGCAAAGGCCATGTCTTATTAGAGTATTCTCAACACCACAGGCAGCAAAACACCAATGAGAGCAAGCTTTGCATCCAACCCAGCTACGGGTATTGTTGGCCAATCATAGTTATAACACACAGAACACATACAATGGCTACAAGTCCCTTCTTCAATTCAAAAAACAATAATTTATACCTGATTCAATCATGCATTCCCTGTACATAAAAAACCTGTAAAACGAAGAGTACGGACGAAGGCCTTAGCCACAATTTGCACAAGTTCATTAGCTGGTGTTATAAGAGTTTTTGACGGAGCCTTGACAACTGAATCAGAGGTAACCTTTTGTGCCTAAAGAGAGACATTCTTTATCAATCGAGCCATTTTCAAGACAGCCCCTGAGAGTGAACCAAAAGGAAATGTCACGAGGCAATGTTCCCACAACAGTCAATTTTGCAGTGTTGTATGACAGTAGAAAGGCATGAAATACTAATGATTCACATCTATGAAACTTACCAAAATCTTTATTGGCGCTTGTCGCATGGAAAATTCCAGAGTAAACCGATCCATTTTTAACCTGGACTTCTACATGATGTCCAATTAGACAGGTTGTCAACTACACAAGTCGATCTCGCGAAGGACTCTCAGACCCTACACTTCTGCTGCCACTTGTTATACATGCATCAAAAATAAAACTATGAAGTTGCAAATGACAAATTAGTGGAGCACTTATATTAAAGATCTTCACCTGCACTTGTCACTCTATCGGGATTTGATTTTCCAGGCTGTGATTTTATATCCATCCTGTTGCTGTTCTCTTTTTCAACTCTGCGGCGATTAAACCTTTAGCAGAAGTTCTTGGCTGCGCAGCTTGCTGCAGGTTCATGCTGAGCAGACTGACACAACCTCCGTAATGGCAAAATTATTAGGGTTAGAAGCAGCAAATACACTGTGAATCATCATATCACACAAGACCAGTTACATGCACCCTGAAAGTTAAGTTCATCTAAGGACACAAAGGCAACACGAAATAGATTGCCTCCCTTCTACTTTGTCTACAAACTTCAATTATGACACTCAAACTAATATTTACAGTAGAAAATCATCAAATACACAAATGTGTCATCCACTTGTTTGTAGTAAAGCAAGATGATCACAAACATAATATCAACCAAAACCACTACTCATGGAGAATCCTGCTACTGAATACCTAGCAAGAGCTCGTTAATAACATTGAAGGCCATGCCTTAGGTTAGAGTTTTTGAGGGACCTGGTCCATAAATTATATTTTCTGAGCTTTTATAAAATAATTTATAAAGTTAATTGTGAAATAAATAAAATTTTAAATTAAAATCTCACCCTGAAGGCTTGAAATGATGATTGGACAAAAACAATCATCGACTAAATATGGATAAATCACATCAAATGGGGAATGAAATCCAATCATCTAAAGCTAGATGTATGATACTAAGTACTCCCTCTGTCCCTTATTTTTTGCCCCATTTGACTTTTCATGGTCTCCAAAACGTGTCTTTAAACGTATCTCCAATTCTATACGCGTAAAAATTATAAAAACTTGATATTAATAAAAACATATAATGAGAGGATCCTAACAAGATGCCATTTGAATATATTACCACTTATAAATTAACGAGAGTTAATGGTCAAAGTTTTAAAAATTTGACCCATATATTTGTAATGGGGCAAAAAATAAGGGACAAAGTGAGTAACAACGAAGGAAGGGGAAAAAATTAAAGCCTTTCTAATGTAATCCCACATCATGACATGGTTTCACCTTCTTTCTTTTCTATTTTTTTCTCCTTACTAAATCTTTCAACCAAATGTCAGTCCAAGACTTCAACTTAATGAAGTTATAAGCTTTATAGAATAAGGATATTGTCAATTCGTTTTATAACATTATCAACCAATTTCATAATGCATGGTTAATTGAGATGTTCAGAATTATCTGCAAAAATCAAGACGAGTAAGACTGGAATTTTATGCATAGAATAGCAGGGTATGATTCTGTAATTTCTAGATTCGGCAATATTTATTTATTTATTCACTTTCATGAGAGTCAAACTAACATGAAATTAACCCTACACTATTAATTATATTGAACTTCAAAATAATAATAAAAGAAATATTGTAATAATAATAAATCAGGCAATCAGCCCAATTCACTCATTCCTTACAAAATTCTTAAGCTATGATCTGATCAACAGAGGCAGAAAGAAATATTCAAACTTCAACAAATCAAACATAAAGTAATGGTACACAATTCGAATAACATTTGGTATGGCCTAAATTTACCCTTTCATTTTAACCTGTATAATGCTCCATTTCAAAAATCACCCAAATAGCGCGAAACCGGTTTAACAGCTACCAAATAACAATCAAACCAACAACCGTTCTTCGAAAACTAAATTAGCGAAACCGATCCCTACAATTTTGCAGAAAAACCTAGTTTAAAATTGAAACACTTTTCTTTGCAAAAATCAAATTAAAAACTGCAAATCTCATGAAAAATACGCCCGTGATAGTAATTGAGTCATTCCCCTTAAAAGCCAAACTAAAAAAATTAAGAGCGTACCTCAAAAGCTGCTTCAAAGGAGGAGAGATAGCTAAGAAGGCGCTTCAATGGAGGATTCAGAGTGCGCACTTCAATCAAGAGGAGAGATTGAGCGTACCTTAGAAGAGGAAAAAAGCAACTCAAAGGTGAAGAAATAAAATGAATGGTAGAGAGTAAAATCAGGGAAGGAAAAAAAAAAAAAAAAAAAAGAGGGGCAGAAGAGTCTTCACACAAAAGACAAAAATAACCTAGGTGAAATTGGCAATTCAACCAAGGGGGCAGAGGGCATTTGTGGTATTTTCCTGTTCATAAGGAACAGTAAATTGTGCTACAGTATTGGTGCCTTGGACTTTTTAAAGAGTTATATAGATATAGATATAGAATTATGCAGGTAATACATTCTGTTCTCAGGGAATAGGGTGGCAAAATTTGTTTATTCTTTAATAATAACATGATCTATTAATATATTTTTGCTTATGGTTCTATACTTCCATTCATTGTAGAGTAAATGGTCTTTGCTTGAGTTGGATTATATACACCTTCTGCTAAACCTTGTGAGAGATTGAGAGGTTGATTATGATTATTTTTGTAGGGTTGATATGGATATTCATGCTTATAGTTATGGCTTTATGGTTGATATTCTGAACCTTGGACTTACCAAAATTTTTAAGTATGTATGTATTATATCTCAGCTGATGAGTAATCATATTTGACAGAATGGAAAAGTATAGTTAGCTGCTAGAATTTGTCTTGGACTCTTAGGTGCTTGGAGGTGATTGTGTGTTACTAGCACTACGATCTATAGCAGCAAGATTTGTTTTGAGTACTTTGAGCCATGGATCGGCGATTCCAATGGCAGTGACATGAAACTGCTATCCCTTTCTCAGATAGCAGCGCAGATGCATGACCTCTTTTTTGAGTTGTGCCTAAGTATCAAGTTCAAATTGCAATCATTTTAGCATTATCTGGTCTACATCAATGAAGGTATTAGATTTTAATTTTCTTTTTTTACAGAACTATAGCATAGGAAATGGATAGCTTCAATATGAATGTAGTTGACATGATGATGATGATTGTTTGTTTTCAAATTACAAGCATTATAGTTGAATATGCTCACTGTGCATACAAACATGGTGAGATGTTAAAGTGATTGAAGGAGAGTGAAATTGGGTTATTGGCTTTGTTTCTTATTAGATTACAAGCTCTTTTTGTACTATATTCTCTGAACGCTGGAGAATCAACTAATGGTCTCTTTTGTATGAAGGCAATGTTGCTTTCATGGATTTAAAAAGTTAAAAGTAACTATAACTAAAAGGGTAAAATGTACACCTATAAGATTCTTAATTTGAAGGTAAAGAATCTGTGTGTATTCACAAGAATTTGGGGATATTTTTTTCTGATCATTTCCCAAATTATGTTTATCAATTTTTTGAATATTTTTTTGAGATGATTGATTAATTAATTATCTTAATCTGCCCCCTTCACAGGTTCTATGGTGATTGTTTCAACATTTGAGCATCTAGTTCACCACGTATACAATGATATCCTTTAGCAAAGGAAGGAAACTACTCTAAAATCCAGCAGATTGGCGTGGCTTGCTTTGCTGGTTGGAACTTGGAGGAGAAGAGGGATTGGAGTATTGGACAAAGTATAAAATGGCATTGAACATTGGAAAATTGGTGTTGAATGATGCTCTACTCAGGCTTTTGGCACCTAAACAAGTTTTTGGTGATGATAAGTTGATCAAGTATGATGCTCTTTTGTTGTATTGGTTTCTTGATATCCTTCATGATTATCGGTTTCTTGATATCCTTCAGATTTTACTCGGGGAAGATATTCGTGAAACTATAGTTTTTTTTTTAGGTGAATTTTGTTGATTTTTTTTCGTATTTCTTTAATTTGATGTTGAATTTGATTATGTTTGTAATTTTTTTAATATATATTAAATTGAGAGTAATCTTATTATTTATAAGATTAGAATTCATGCTCTATGAATCTATCATAATAATAGGATACATCTTTCTGGGAAACATCTTATAACTAGGCTTCTATCTTCCCCTAACTCTATTCCTAGGTATTTAGAAAACAATCTCATGGTATATTTAGTGTTTATGTAATTCTGATAAACAACCTACGAATATACCGCTTAATAATATATCTTCCACTTTTTCGTAGTATGATTCTTGTCAAGTGGTTCTAAGGTTTTACGTCAAGACCTATTAGATGCATTCTTAGTGTCGAAAGGAAGTTGCTTTCAACAACAACAACAATAAGGGGAAAAAAAAAGTGTCGAAAGGGAGGGAGATAGAGTGGAGAAGGGGTTATTAGCCACTACGGCCATATATTGCTCATTTGCTTACAAATATCAAATTAAATGTTCCACTACAAATTAGTAACTTTTGATTTGCAAACGTTACATATTATGTTCAACAAAAAAAAGGACTTTTTACCAAAGTGAGCTTTAATGGCAAAGTAATTACCAAATTGGTCTCGTGGCGAAGTATTTCCCAAACTAAGCTTGTGGGGTGAAATGTTGTTTCGGACAGCGTTTTACACCCGAATTTTTGTTAAAAAAAATTCAAAACATAAAACGCTGTCTCAGACAGCGTTTTATGGTAGTTGACTTGTTGGTATGTATTTCGGAAGAAAAATACTGGAATACACGTATTGTATGTATGTGGACTATAAAACGCTGCCTGAGGCAGCGTTTTATGCTTTTAATAAAACGCTGCCTGAGATAGCGTTTTATTTAAAGCATTCAGGCAGCGTTTTTCTGCTGGACTGCATCACCAGCAGCCAACTCCTGTTTCTGCCATCTGCTGCTGTCCTGCCTTCTGCTGCTGCCCCTACACATCACCCTCACCCAGCAGCCTCAACCTCAGCCCCACCATCAACCACCACCCCCACCACCATCAACCACCTCCCCCACCACCACCGACCGCCACTCTCGACCACCCCTATGCACTCCAAAACACTCTAAACAATGCAAGAGCATTCCCACCACCAGTCCCAACCTTTCCACCAACCTTGACCACCATCGACAACCATCAAACACTGGAAACAACCCCAACAACACTACAACTATCGTGAAACAACACTTTAAGTGCAGCTGACCAAATATATACTGTTTGATATATATAACGGCGATGAAAGATCTAGTTTTACTGACAAAATTCAAATTCGGACAAATAAGGGAAATAAACTTCAAATTGTACAGAGAGTCATTTAAAAAACATTTCTTGTATTAATAATGTAAGCGTTATATACTACATTGTTAGATATCTGAGTACCACAAAAACATCAACTAACTAATATTATCCGGACTTATGTATTGGAGTTAACTAATCTCCATCCTGTGTGTCCTCCGTCCGTCTACGAACACGCCTCGGACGCCTGCTGTAATGCCGAATGGTGGTGAATGGGTCTCGGGACGGTGGAGTCAGCTGGCTAGACGATGAGTCATCCTGGGTATGGCCGGGAGCGGTGTTATGGATGAAGTAATCCTCTGCCTGTGTAGAGCCCGAAGCATCACCTCCACCACTGCTCTGTCCAAAGTCGAACTGTGAATGGTAACCACATGCGCCACAGCTTTGTCCGAAGTCGAACTGTGAATGGAAGGAGTTGGGGTCATGATCTTCCCTGGGGTGGACGAGATGGCCATGGCCATATATCTGCAAGCTATGTATGCCCATATCTCGCACCCGCTCGACTTGGGCTCTGGTGGGTACAGCTGCTAAGGCATCTAAAAGTGCATCAACCATCGCACCCATATCCCCCGCCTGCAATAATCATCCATGACTTAGTCATATGATATAGAATTTCAAATAATTTTGGAAAACAAGAAAATGAAATAAACTCACAAGTCCGCTGATAACATCATAAGCTGGATGGTAGTGCGTGGACGGTGACGTGTAGGTAGGGTTAACGAAAAGGCGTGTAATCTGCCTGTACCATACCATGTAAGGATCACGCGGATCCATAACACCCTGAAACAGGTGACCGTTAACGACGGACTCCAACCGTTGGTCCCAAAGCTCAATGAATTGATGATGCTCCTGTGCCCAGTTTGTCTCCAACTTTTCCCCGACGGTCAATTCCGTGGAGGCGGATACTAGTGTCACAGGCCATGGGGATAGGCTGGTGAAGTCCGAACTATCGCAACACTCGGTCCGGTACGTGGCTCTCCACGACCTCGAAACAGATCATGGGGGTCCTGGCAAGCCACTCAGCACGATGCTCGAGCAAGTGTTTCGGCATGGCCTCTACCAACACAGCAAAATAGGGATCCCATGTCATCTGCAATAAGGAAATATCGTAATTAGGTTAGGGAAATGCCAATAAACAGTATAAAGAGTAAACAAAAGATTACAAATTTATTGCAAGATTCCACTTGTTCATCCGTGAGTCGGTCGAGGGCGTCACGGTAGTAGAGAAGACCTCTCGCTGTATGCGCATGTGTCAGTCTGGGAACCACCCTATGTGTCTATGGCCTCCCTTTCTACCAACTCGCTCCCCCCTATGTGTCGTCACTTGGTAAATGTGCAGCCGACGGTTATAGGCATCCACCCTGTGGTATCTTGCTTTTGTTGTGTTCTTCTCCAAAATAGTAGTGACCTTTGGGGGATATGCAAGTCCCTGTTCGGCCCTGGACTCAGCATATTCTCTTCTTAAGGTGAAATACATGTTAACTCTGTGGAAAGTTAACTCAACAAGGGACATAACTGGCATGAACCGAGCACCTTTCAAAACATTGTTAAATGTCTCAGATAAGTTTGTTGTACATATCCCATGTCTGCGACCAGCGTCGTGAAACAAAGACCACATAGGAAACGGCACTTGGGCAATATACTATGACGATTTGGTACATGCCTGACCAATCGAAAACAAATCAGCTTGCAGTTTTCTTTCTTGCCTTTGGTACGCAGCAGCCTTGAACGTATCTCTCGTGATTGTGCTTCGCACGTGAGATTTCAAGTATGAAGCCAAGTGACGAACACAAAACCTGTGATAGGCTCTAGGCTGAGTGAATCCAATGTTAGGATCATTCATTGCTGCAATGATCCCTGCATGTCGATCAGATATAACACATAAGCCATCTCGTTGCGTAACTCTTTCCCGAAGGCAGCTCATAAACCAAGACCAGCTGGAAATGTTTTCCCCCTCAACCAACGCAAAAGCTAGTGGAAAAGCTTGGAAGTTTCCATCCACACTTGTAGCTACCAAAAGTGTTCCTTTATACTTCCCGTACAAGTGTGTCCCATCGATACAGATAACAGGCATACAATGTTTGAAACCATCGATACAAGGACCAAATGCCCAAAACACTCGTTCAAACACTTCCATGTTGCTGGTATAGCTACACTCCACTAGAGCTTTGTGTTTCCATATGACTACGGTTCCCTGGTTTGACTGTTGCAGTGCTTGCATGAACTGAGGAAGTCTTCTGTAAGAACTCTCCCAATCCCCAAAAATTTGAGTGATGGCTTTGTCCTTGGCATACCATGCTCGTTTATACGGAACTTCAAAATGGAATTGCTTGGAGATGAGTTCCTGTATGAAATCAACTTTTAGAGTCGGATCTTTCTGCACAAAGGACTTCACATACTCAGATATTATGGACGAATCCAAGTGTTGGTGATCAGTACATAGTACTTCGGTAACACAGTTCTCCCGGTGCGGGCCTTTGTATGTGACTATGGTGAAGCCACGCGAGTGCTCACTTGTCCTGGTACCCCTTAGAGACCATCCACATTTCTTCTTGCAACGCAGATGAAGGACACTCTCATTTGAGGTCACTGTGGTGTAGAATTGATTTCTCTGTATAGAATACATCTTCACCATTTCTTGAAGCGTTTTCTTACTGTCAAAGTACATCCCCTTCTCGAATTCTCCCCCTGGAACAAATGATGTATGACGACCCGAATCGGCCTAATACTCATCAACTTCATAATTCTCATTTATCTGACTAAACCAGGGTACTGCAGTTCTAACCAAGGGCTCATCAATGTCTATCTGCCCAGCTTCAAGATCCATGTCATCAAGTCCATCATCCTCCTCCCCATTATCGTCCTCATCATCTGTATCCGCATACACATCGTACACCGACAATTCGTTATTCACAATATTATCAAAATTACTTGGCTCTTCTTGAGACGGTGATGCTTGCACCTCATCTCGCATCGGTGACGGAGCCGCGGTGTGTGATGTCGAAGGACCGGATTGGCCGAACATTGTCACACAGCCCCCCGCATGTGCAGGTGATGCTATATGAGGACTAAACGACATCTGAAATTGATCGTCATGCAGTAAGCGACTAAACGTTCCCATCCCATATTCATTCGATGGAATGTGGATTGAGGGGCCTTGGAAGGAAGCGGTGTTGTAATCGGAGACATATGTAGGATGTTGTTCTGCCCAAGTACTTTGTTGGGTACATATAGGCACCGTTTCTACATATATCTCATTGGGAACAACCTTCATTGCAACAATGCTTCTCAAAGCTTTTAAATGTTTGTTTGTGGAGACAGGTAACACTTGAACCCCATGGCCAGTCTCACACCTCATTTTAAGGTTCAGTTTAACATTCATTGGGTTTGAGCCAATACTACTGTGAACCTCATTCATCAGATCATTCACAGTCATGTTCGGTTCAAGTGTTATAAGTTCCATATTCCCTCCAGTGTACTCAACATTTGATCCATCGCACATAATTTCACCCCCCACCGGCATAACAACACTACATTTTGTGTAGCCATATTCTACATAACAACCATAACACATTTAAGGATAATCGAATGCTAAAACTACGTAAAAAACCCCTAATTTAACAATGCATAGCAAACATAGCTTTGATAATGGAAAGTTATATCAAATTTCAAGAACCTACATGTTTAGCTAATATGACAACAATGAAACAAGCCCATTCTCACTATCAACATTTTCATCACCAATTTCATTAACTCTTAGTACTGCATACAACTATCAACATACTAGTACGGCATTACCATCAACAATTTCATCATTATTTTCACAAAAATAAACCACATTACCATCAACAATTTCATCAAAAATAAACCACATTATTTTCGTCAATTATGTATCACATTACCATCAACAATTTCGTCTACATTGTTCTTCAATAATGTACTACATTATCATCAACAATTATCAACAATTTATCACATTTTCATTACTAATTAGCAACAAATTAATACAATTTAGATCACATTTTGCTACAACATACAAAAACTACCAACTATTTAATGTTAAATTATACTACGAATTTAGGGTTTACCTGGATTTAGAGAGTGAGTGAGTGAGTGAGAGAGTGAGCAACAACTTCCCTTCACTTGGGCGGCGGTGGCAGTGGCGGTGGTTCGGTGTTTGTGAGAATGAGAGTTGCTTTAGTGAGAGAAAGAGTGTAAAATGCGGTTGTGAGAATGTGAAAAACGCACCAGAATCTGGGTTTATGCCCCGCAAGAAACGCTGCCTCAGGCAGCGTTTTACAGTATTGGGGTATTTTTTTTTAATAAATTATGAAATACGAAGTTTGGCCAACAAAAGTCAAACATGAGACAGCGTTTTACTTTTTGATTTTTTTTTTTTTTTTTAAAATCTGGGTGTAAAACGCTGTCCGAGACAGCGTTTTACTACAAAAACTTAGTTTGGGAAATACTTTTGCCACGAGACCAATTTGGTAAATACTTTGCTAAATTAGCTCACCTTGGTAAAAAGTCCCAAAAAAAACTGACTATAACTTTTCGAGATTAATTAGGCCAAATTGGATACGCGCGCTCCCACAGCTAGTAAATAAATGAAATTACTAGTACTCCACTAGTACTCCCCAAAAAAAATAGAAGTCATCTTCCAAAAATAAAAATACATGAATTGGCCCCCAAGAAATTGAAGCTACCAGAGTTAGATTCTTCATGCTTATTCTTCGACGGCATACAGTACTGGTGGAGGACTTTGTAAGAGACTTTGGAATTCAATTCTCCAATTTTCCAGTAATTCGGACATAATTTATTTCGCAAAAATCCTGCCAATTTTGATAAAAAAAAAAGAAACATTATGGCAACATTCAGTCGATTATTTACAAGAAGAGCTTGTCGCAGTGCAATTTCTTCTTCTAAAACCATAAACCCTACTTGTTTAGCTCAACCCCTTCAAACTCGTCTTTATCATGGTAATATTTTCTTTCTCATTTCTGGTTTTCTTTGAATTTTACTCTTTAGTTCTTACTTCTTAGTTTCTTAACCTTATTTTATTGTTTTAAAGTTTTAATTTTGGGTTGGAATAATAACAGCTTTTAGTGTTGAGGATGCTATACTTTGAACCTTTGGCACATAAATTTGTAAACTTCATAAGTAAAATTAATGGGGTGATGACATTGTTGTTTAAGCTGAATTTGCTTCTTGTTGGTAGATTTCAATAAAATTGAAATGGTATGCTTGGTTTTGAAATTTAGTGGCGTTTCTGAATTGGGGTTTTGCTAATTTTAGTTAATTCTAGTTCTATTTATTGTTGGAAAGCAACACTAGATTGTATTGTTAATTTGTTATTAGCAATGCATTTGTTATTTTAGGGGGAAAATATACTAGAAAGCAGTAGAATTAAAGATGACATGTTTAAGATTGAGCTGAAAGTTTTCTGATCTTATGAAACGTACTGACCTCAAAAGGTTCTAATTTTGCTTGTTTAAGTTGATTATTGAATGATTGTAGCTCAGAAAGAGTATTTTTCATGAATTCATATATTGTTTTTTGATAATTGTGTGTAAATTACTAGGAGTGTCTTGGAAGAGATGAATCATGAATGCTCTTTAATGATAATGTTTTTACATCTTTTTTATATCTTCTGGTCGATATAACTATATAGGGATAGTCTGATTGAGTGGTTGATGCTATACAGTTATACAACGAGAACATTCATCAATTTCGCTGCAATCATGTGATGTGCAGGTTGTGGAACCCAGCAGCAAGTAACCAGTGCATTTATAGGCTGTATTCCATTTTCTAGTTTTGAGTCTACCCGGTCACTTTGCATTCCGCTTGTGCTAGCTAGTATTGTTGGTGTTGGGATTCTAGACGTGGCTTATGCAGATACCAGTGAGGTTTGTGCTTATTATCTAGATGGACTACTCTGTGCGGCAATTCACGTGTTCATACGTTACCTGTGCCAAGCCTAGTTTGTCTGCTTTTTAATTTATATGATTTGTGTCGGAAATTTGGACTCTAAACTGTACTGCACAATGTGTATATTGAATATATATTTCTTGATTGCAATCTATACTGAACTCGTTGCAGGTTTCTGCCGATTCTCCCTTGCCACCTGATATCCCATCAAGTTATGATAACCTGGAAGAAATAGCAAAAAAGGAACAGTGGAGGCTGGAGGATCTTATAAGAAGCAAAGGCATGGAGTATGGTTCTTATCCACAATTCACTGTTGCGTTAAAGGGCGAAAAGGTACACATACCGTATCACCCTAGTAAATTCCTGCGTCAAACACCTTTACTGCTGTATGAGACGACTTATAGAGTTTTTTGTTTTGTGTAGTTTTGTGTCACCTTCTTTCTAATCTCCGTTTACTATCAAATTTCATTAGGATATCACAAAAGTTACTAGAGGCGAGAAGCACAAAATGGGGGCTAATATGATTCCTTCCTATATGGACTTGAGGGATTGATAATTTGAATCATTGGCCCTGTAGTCCTATGATGGTGTTAACAATCTTATTATTTCATTCTACTTGAGGAAAATAATAGAAATTCGAAATTTAGTAAAAATCATATAGAAGAAATGTTAATTTTGATAAGATTGAGATAGATTTTGAAAGCATACCAAGTGAATTTATATTCGAGGAAGTTAATAAGGTGGGGAGTCAATGGTGGCTGTGACCACCTAAATGGCCTTTAGGAGTCTCGTGGGTTCCATGAAAAGTACCCGACCTTTTTTCTTTCCGTGCCTAGAAAAAGTCTTTAATTGTCTAAAACTGAAGACTATAATCTAATCTTTCAGATCATTTTCGAGTTTTCAATATTTAAGTTACTGTGAGGGGTTATCATGGGAGACCTAGATAGGTTTAGGTGTACAAAGTTCCGAGAATGAGTTTGGTTCAATTATTGAAATTATGTTGTGCTGGTAGTCAAAGTTGGTTTTATTCACCAACTTGGTATCACTGGGTCCTACTAAGGTGTCAGAAATCCTTCATTGGGTTATCTAACCCAAACGGCCAAACCTACCCATTACTTACCATGTCATTTTTGATGCATGGATTACATGGGTTGTTTACACCATTATGTTTGTTACTCAACACCATTACCCTCATTATTGCATTTTGTTGTTTACAAATGTTGATAATGAAGCTTTTTGTGATGGAAAAGTATTCATAATGATTGGAAACAATAATCATTATTGGTGGAAAATAATCATGTTTGTTTTTTCCTCATTTTCCTCCTTTTTTTATCAAATTGATTACATGAACAAGTATTACCTCCGTTCTTGAAGAAAAACAAAAAATACGTGTTCATTATGGTATTACAAAACGACAATTACTCTACTCACATACATTTTGTGGAGTCATAAACAAACTTTGATAAAAAAAAATTATCATGTAGTATCTTGCTAGAATCGTTTCAATGTGTGGTATCAAATTTTCATATTTTACACAAATATGTAATTAAAGACATAATAGGTTAAACAGGTACGTTAAAGACTACACGGAATACAAGTAGGTAAAAGAAAGGAAAATTTGTCAAAATTAATACAACCTTTAAATTTTTTCATAATAATACACGCTTTTGCACACATTTGCTTTTAACAAGTTATTTTACCTGTAACCTGGTCATAAGGTAAAACTGTAATAATTATTTTGTGTGTTTTTTTTTAATAAAAAAAAAAATCCCATGATCAAAACTAATTCACTATCACCTTTCATCAGCAACAATCAAAGCTTCACCACTTGACCCATCGCACCAACACCACGGCACCACCGTGGCATCGTCCACCTTAAAACTACCCTCTAATCCTCAAAACCGGCCCCACCGAACTAATAATCGTCCCGATTTCATGTTCGCACACCTGCCCGCACCACAAGGGTCTTTAAATTGGGGTTGATTTTACGAATTTTGGGTTAGCTTGGTCATGAGATGGAGGCTGCCATGGTGGTTGTTCTTTTGTGCGGTTGCCGCTAGTTTTCTGTGTTGCTTGCTGGTGGTACTACTAGGCGTGGGAATCGCGGTTGTGAAAAGATGGAGCAGCACTTCTTTAGGCATGTGTTCGTGTTGTGGGAGGAGTGGGTTGGTAGCGAGGAGTACATGGGGCTAGGTATTCATATTGTTGGTTGTTGTCACTTGGTGGAGATTCGGTCTGGGAAGAGGGTGAAGAGGTGATTTATTGTGCGAAAGGAGGGAGGTACAAGTGGGTGGTTGGGTTTGTTAATTGATGGATTGATGTCGGCGTGACGGTGGGTGTTCGGAGTTAGTGTGGCGGTGTGGCCGCAAGACAGTGGTAGAAGTTGGAGGAGAGAGGGAGAAGGGGAGTGGAGGAGGGAAGAGAAAGAGGGTTTTAGAGGAGAGGACGAGTGGTGGTGGAGGAGGTGGTCCAGGTGGAGGGAGGGCTACGTAGGAAGATGTAGCAATGGACGGAGAAGGGAGGAGATACAGTGTTTATAAAAAAATATTAAAGTCAAAATAAAATTAGATTTAATTAATCAGATATTAAATTTAAATTATTTAACTAAAACAACCCAACCAATTAAATAGTGACATGTGTCACTTTAACTGGTTTAAATAAGTCACCAACATGTTACAACTTGTTAATAGCGGATATCCCCAAAAGTTGTATTATTATGAAATAATTCAAAGGTTGTCTTATTTTTAGCGGATGACTAAAAGGTTGTATTATTTTTAACAATTTTTCCTAAAAGAAAAAAAAGAGAGTTTTATTTATGAATAGAAATAAATAAGTACTATAGTTTATGTAAACATTGCCTCCCATCACCAACTTAAATAACCCTTCTAATCCTGATTCATATAAACTAAAAAAACAAGCACCCTATGGTCCTCGAAAGCTCCCAAAGTGTCAAATAAGCATCTCCATATTCTCCCCGAGCTTATCTTATATTTTCGATTTTCCCCCTTTACCCTATTTTTCCCATATTCACCCTTCAGTAAAAGATAATTTTTTTGAAAAAAAAAGAGTCAAAATTAAGCTTTAAAACCAATATGTTGGATTCCAGATAAAAAGGTTATTATCACATTTTCACTTGTTTTGAGCCATTATTATGTTAAGAACTTAAGATGGTGTGCATGGCCAAGTAATGTGCACACAAAAATCTCACTAATGTATGATGATTTTAATGCTTCAAGGCCTGGTCACTAATGTATGGATCATGTCCAATTGATCATATCAACAAAGTGTGGAAGTCAACTTTTCACGTGGCATTATTATTTTGTAAATGATTAGAAAAATGTAATTGTTATGTGTGACTTGTATCTAGAGCTGTCTATTCGGGTAAACGGGTTGGGTTTGGGTCGGGTCAATACGGGATAATGTCGTAGCCTATGCGGGTCGGGTTCGGGTTGGGTCATGCTTGAGTTGGGTCACGTCGGGTCATACATCTTATTGGGTTTGGGTCGGGTTTAGGTCGGGTCAATAACGGGTCGGGTGAATAATAGGTCGGGTTTAATTCGGGTTTTCACGGGTTAAAACGAGTTAGGGTCATTCTCGGGTTCGAGTCGGATTCGATTCAAGTCAATAATTTGCGGGTTATAATAAGGTCGGGTCATTCTTGGGTTCTGTTCAGGTCAATAATTTGCGGGTTATAATCAGGGCAGGTCATTCTCGGGTTGGGTTCAAGTCAATAATTTGCGGGTTATAATAGGTTGAGTCAATAATTTGGGGATGATGCTTCTTTCTTTTGCTGGACCGACTTGGTCTCCCTGCATCCAAGACAAAATACTTTGATCAATATATATTAACATAGAGTAGTTTTAGCCTTACGAAGTTACAACTTTACGAGCAGCTTAGAATATATTTAGCATATATTATCTAATTATTGTATATATCTTTTTTTAGCTAGTCAATATCTACAATAATAATGATATATACAGTAATTAGAGAATATATGCTAAATATATTCTAACAATTAGAAATGAGCAAATAATTATAATTAGTCTATGTAAGGAGTCGTATGTATTGAACTATTGACTATTGAACTTATCATAGTAACTCGTTTGCCCAATCACACAACTACACAAGTGACTACGTAACTATATAACTATATATTAATAAGAGGGTCTAAATTGAATTTAAGGTGATTTGAAATCGGGTCAGGTCAATAACAAGTTAGGTTGAGTTCGAAATGGGTTAAGAACAATTCGGGTTGAATTTGGGTAGGGTCAATAACAAGTCGTGTTGATTTCGGGTCAGGTCGGATTAAATTCGGGTTTTGACGGGTTAAAACGGGTTTGGGTCAATCTCGATTCAGGTCGAGTTCAGTGCAGGTCAATAATTTACGGGTTATATTCGGGTCTCAGATACTCGGGTTAACTCGGGTCTAGGGTTGGTTTCAGGTCGGGTCTTATCAAGTTCGGGTCACCATTTTTTCGGGTTCAAACAGGTCGGTTAATAATCGGGTTCAGGTAAATTTTTCGGGTCGGGTCAGCTTTTGACATCTCTACTTGTATCCACATGATTAGAAAAATGTAATTGTAAAAAGGATATTAGCGCGTCCGTGTTCACTTGACCTTGCACGACCGTGCAAAAGGGTCATAGAAATATAATTTGATGTCGAGGCCAGAAATTTTTTTCCGCACAAATTAAAGGGGAGCGTTCGCGCAAAGGGGAAGCAGAGCCTTGCGTGTCCGCCTAAGTTAAATGTGCGCATCCGCACAAGACTTCCTCTGTTCCAGTTTTTGGCACGTGTTTTGTCCTTTGCCATTCGATGCTTTGTTAAGATCTGTGTTTGTGATGACTGCTACTTGTGCTTTGCCTCGGGGAGTAATCAATCAAAGCCTTAATCCCATAAGTGGGTCGGCTACATAAACCAAATTTGATTATTTCATATAGTCATCGATGAAAAACTTCCTCCTCCATCCCTTACGATCCAATGTCTCATCCTCATGCAAATCCATATACTTCACATCCTTCCTAACTCCTTCCAGCCAAGTCATTTTCGGTCTCCCTCTCCCTTGTTTAACCCCTCCACATTCCCACTCTTCCACTCTTCGTACTAGTACACCCTCGGGTCTCCGTTTTACATGCCCAAACCAACGCAGGCCATTTTCCCTTAGTTTGTCTGCAATGTCTGCCACACCTACTTTCTTGCGAATAACCTCATTTCTAATTCTATCTTTTAAAGTGTTCCCGCACATCCACCTTAACATGCGCATTTCCTGTAACCTCCATCTTTTTGATGTGCTCCTTCTTGAAAGCCCAACATTCTGTACCATAGAGCAACACTGGTCTAAAATTTTCTCTTCAACTGTAAGGGAATGTTTCGGTTACATAACACTCCTATGGCTAGGGCTGAACCGGACCGGACCGGACCGACCCGAACTAGACCGAAGACCGAATTTTTGGAAAGTTGGGACCGAAGATCGGACCAGTCAAATTAGGGCTAAACCCCGGACCGGACCGATTCTCAATGATCGTGAATAGCTTTCTGATGTGGACTTTATTGTTGTGGGCTTTAATTCTTGGAGTATTGTACATTATAACCATATTAATCATTACTGTATAGACTGTAGTGTCAAGAATCTCATGCTTGCCTAATGCCTATTTACACGTACTTTTATCATTATATTCATGTTAGATGCTAATGTATAATATACTTTTCATTATAGATGCTAATGTATAATATTCATGTTAGATGCTAATATATAATATATTTAGGAATCAGGAATCATTATATTCATTTTGTATTCTTTGCAAAAGAAAAGAAGCAATAATTAATAAAATAACAATTACATCTAAAAGTCATTAAGTCATATAGTACCAATTTATAACTCAAAAGTCAAACCACAATTCCAAAAGTATACGTTAAATATACTACATATCATATTAAAGCCAAAACATCAATGAGGACGATGACAATGAAATTGCTCCAAAAATCTTGAACACCATCAAATCATCAATATCAATCTACAAAAGGGAAAAAAAAAACATATAAATTAAAAAATTCCAAAGAGTTAATATATGTATTGAAGTATTAGTAATAATATAGTAGTATTCCCTTTTTCATTCATCAAACAAAAACCACGTCAAATTCACCATCATTTAAAGTAGAGCTCTCCAAATCTATATTAAAAAAAAAAAAAAAAAAAAAAAAAAATCAAATCGGCTACTATAGTAAAGAAATAAATAATAATTATAATGATGTATTAGAAAATACCTTTCTCAAGTTGCTCAATTTGTTCCAGTTTTTACTCAACACCTCTTTCTTTATCTTTCCTAGGACGAAGCCAATCCTGTGAAGATATAAGAGCTTGCACCATCTTTTAAATGACATACAATTATTTTTACAAACATCAATAAAATTATTAATTACTTATTAAATATAAATAAAAAAGATAATAAAGAAAAATAAAAAAGATGAAGACCTTAACTTAGGAGTCAAGGAGCTTCTAAATGAATCAAGATGACAACCCCCGACACTAAATGCCGACTCGGATGCAACAGTGGATATTGGCATTGCTAGTACATCACGAGCTAAGTGTGCCAATATAGGATATCTATGAGCATTTATCTTCCGCCAAGTTAGTATGTCCATCTCTAACTCATGTTCACCTATTTGATCATTTAAGTATCTATCCAATTCCAAACTTGAATATCTTCCATCTGTCGCTAAACAATATCGTTCTATAAGTCAAAAATAGTGGGCGAAGTACATCTACTACTAGTAGAGAATGAGTCATCACTATGCGATGTGAAAGGAGTATACATCTTTCTATAGTCATCAAACAATGAAGTTGCTCTACGATACACAATTTGACTTAACTCCTCATCTTTAGGTGATGGATACATACGACCGAAAGCAAGTTTCAAGCCTACAAATTTCACCTTGGGATCAAGTATGGTACCCATATAGATCAACACATTCATCTTTTCAGTATCTCCCTAATATTTGTCAAACTTTTGCTGCATTGTAATGGCCATAAGTCTAAAATCTCCATCATCACTATTCATCCACCTTTTCAATTGATCAAGAGCACGAGTGTAGGGTGATTAGGGGGATTTTCCCTTAATCCACCTCTCGCCATGTGGACCAAAGTGTCACCCAGTTGGGCTTATCAGGACCTGACACGTGGCGCGCTTCCATTGGTCCACCATGGACCTCCTATGGTATGCCATGTAGCCCTCTCAACCTTGCCTAAACAGGTAAGAGATTGGGCCCAATTCCCAAGGAAGCCCAGTCAGTCCTAGGGTTGGCCAAAACCCTAGAACATGGCACACTTCCCAAGGCTGTAAATACGGTCATAAATGCTCATTTATGACAAGAGAGACTGTTCACAAAAAACACTCGGATTTACACAAATCCCAAGACAATCACACATTACTCGGTACCGCCTGCTAGACCCGTCCTAGCATCCGGCACCTATATACATTCTGCTTTACAACTCCTCCATCTACTAACTTGATCGTTGGAGGCGGAACTCTCTACCCAAGGAGTCTCCGTTATCTTGCAGGTAAGGTGCGTGGTTCCAGCCTCGAAGTTGTAACTCTCCCAAGGGACACAGAAAACCCCGGAACATAGGGAATTTTTCAAACCCAACTTTAAGCCCCACTGTGATCATGTATTTAAGCATGGTGGCGTCCAAAGGGAAGGAAACTAAAGATAAAATAGTCGCCAACTAGTTTTAGGAACTTGTAAACCGTTCACGGGTGTGAAGGTTACACCCCATTCACGATCACGGAGATCGCTAACTCCATAGTGGTCCGGAACCATGACCGGATATTCGAGGATGATGGTATGAATCCAACCTAAAAGAGATTGAACCCGCCCTAAATTGGCCTCTACTTAATTCTTATGATATTCATGTGCGCTTTCCGATCAACATACATACATCAAATTAATCCTAAGCATATTTAATCTACGTTGGTTGATTATTAATGCACAAATAAATCTATTATTGGCGATCACTTGAATTAAAATCATATTAATCTAAATCAAATTTATAATTATCTTATTAAGCGTGATTTCAAGTACAAATTCCCTTTAAATATGTAAGAAGGGGCGTGATCAAGCAATAACAATAAATCATGAATAATCAAGCAATGTATAATTAATTGACACAACAATCATCATCATAATATTATTAGCAAGACGGGATTAGCAAGATCAGAGGCATGATACCAAACGGATTAATAACAAACCCTAGCATGTTACTAATAAAAATCATAATCAGAGCATTAGCCTAAACATGATACTAAAAACTAACATGATATTAGAAATATTAGTTAACACCCTAAACATGATACTATGAATCATAAAGACATCCTAACATGATACTAGGAATCATGAAGACATCCTAACATGATTTCTATATCGAAAGAATAATTAAGTAATCGAATTACTTACTTTGATGCCTCGTACTTCTTTCTATCAAAACAATACACACTTTAGTAACTTCAGGAAAGATTAAATCAAATAAATAAATCAAATAAGAATTGAAATATAGATTTGGGACTAAACCCTCATAACTATTATCCTTTCACGTCGAGGTCGAAGGCAACTTCGAGCTTGGCTTGGAGTATTCTTGTGAAGGAGGTATGGTGTTTGCTTAGGAAAAAGTATCAAAGATGTATTAAAACGTATTTAGGCTAGGCTAAGAAAAGAATCAAGAGATAGAGAGAAAGTATTAGAGAGGGGATTAGATGATGATTGTTGGTGATCAAGCTTGTTGATGGTTGAAAACGGAGGAAAACGACCTCTATCTATAAGAAAAAAGAGGGTCGAAAGACAAAAATAGAGTCAGAAATCAAATCGGAATAAAACAGATTCCAACGCGGCGCTACAGCTTTGTCACGGCGCGACAGGTCCATCGCGGCGCGATAGTCAGCAGTTTTTGTGGTTTTTGTTTTTATCATAGCTTTTGATCCAAAAACCGGAATAAGATAAATAATAGATCGTTGGAAAGCTCTTGAAGTCTACTTTCCAACCCAATTGGAATCTGATCGATATCTTTTGTAGAATAAAAGATATGATCGAAATAGTGGGACACTGTCAGTTTTGGATAGAGTTTGGTATTTCGTTCATATTTTTTCCGTTTTAGCTCGGAATTAGGATTATGATATATCATTGGAAAGATAATTTCAAGGGCTATCCAACCATCTAATTATTTGGATAAAAATTATGAGGCACAAAATTCAGATTTGACCGGGATTAGGATTTTTTCAAAAAGAGAAGTTTTATTGAATTTCAAACTGTTTGATCTTTTTCTTTCGAAAAGGATAGATTAGAACCTTCTAGAGACTTCTTAGAAGTTCCTAATGAATCCTAATTGGTTTAGGATTGGGATTAAGGTATTTGGACCCTCATGATCATTGGGTTGTAGGTAAGATGGACCTAGTCTCGGTTTGGGCTTGGTTTAGTATTTTGGCCATAACTTATTCATTTTAAGTCAGATTTTGGCTTATAATATATCGTTTGAAAGCTCTTTTCAAACCTCATCCAACTACACAATAATTGGACCAGGATTATGGACCAAAATAATCTGGTTTGGACGTTTTATAAATAGGACACGAAATGAATGATTTTCAAAGACACGAAATGAATAATTTTGGGTTTAAAGGCATGAAATAAATGATTTTGTTTTAAAACCTTTTAAGTGAGGCTAGGAATATGGTTAAGGCTTAAGGAAACTTCACGAGACTTTACAACTCTTCACCTAACTCGATAATCAAAGACGTGAAAGGTACTCATCACTAGGTTTGGTTTTGGGGAGACAAAATCAGGTGTCTACAACGAGCAATGTGAAAAAAAGTATTATTACTTGTTACATACAATGAACCAGAAACAGCATCAGTCAAAACCTTAAACTCTCTTAGGAAAACTACTAACCCTTGAACCACCTTCCAATCACTCTCAAGGGGGGGCTTTAGAATTTCTCAAATCATCTTATCCTATACCACCACTCTTATTATCATCATATCCACCATGGGTTTCAGTAATCGTATTTTAATCTAATTGAGGATTAGTTGGAATATCTATCCTCCAAAAGATATCTCGAAACTTCAATGCTTTTTCTAGCATATCAAAAGTGGAGTTCCACCTAGTTGGAACATCTAAAGACAATGAAGAATGGTTTGGAGCATACCTTATTGATGGATTTTTTTATTCTTCTTCGACCCATCCCACACTATAAGGTTTATAATGTGTGCAACACATCTCATATGCATATAATCACCATTACCAATACAAGACAATTTACTTTGCTTAATTTTTCTTAACTCAGAACATGCAACATCATTAGAACTTGCATTATCAACCGTAATAGTGAATAATTTTTCATCCACACCCCAAGAAGTCAAACATTCTTCCACCCCCTCAGCACCCTTGTGGTTATAAATAGGACAAAAAATCAAGATCATTTTATGCAACTTCCACTTAGTATCAATGAAATGACCAGTAAGACACGTGTAATTGATTCTTAGGATACTTATCCATGTATCAGTAGTGATAGAAATCCGTTGACATTTCATTCTTAGTAGTTTCTTTAATTGTATCCTTTCTCTTGCATAAAGTGGTAAACAATCACGTGCAAAAGTAGTACGTGATGGTATATGAAACCTAGGGCAAACTACAGACATAAAATGCTTAAAACCAGGTTTTCTACATGACGAAAAGGTAGTTCATCCACAATAATCATGTAAGCAAGAGCATCTCTAGCATCATCAACATTTAAAGCCCAAGCTTTCATTTTATCTTGTCCAACATCAACATCATGGTCAAAAGCTATCTCAGTTTGTTTTCCTCTAATTTTGTTTTTAGGATTAGCTGGACAACCCTGCCAATGATTTTTCACGTTTTTTGAACCATTGACATTAACATCACAAGCAAATGTTTTATTCTCACAATACATACACTCAGCTCTAAGCTTACCATTTTCCTTGTACTCCCAAAAATGCACCCAATATTCTGCTCTCCTTCTTCTTCCCCTTGGAACATAATGTCTTCCCTCCAACTTTTTCCTAGGTGGTAGTAGTGTTGTGACATTTTGCTTCTCTTTATCAACTTTATCAGAAACATCATCATCATTAAAAATTGCATCTACATTTGCCTTTGAATCTTCAAACTCAGAGAATGGCCTCTTATTTGTTGATTTGGAGCTTGACATCTACAAACAAAATGTAGGCAAAAAATTGTTATTATGAAGCATTTTGTATGCATAATATATAATTCGTTAGATGCAATTAACCACAATACAGTAGGTCAGTTTGCTATAAGCTTAATTGCTATTTGTTTTCTTGTATAGTAATACACCTAGTAGGCTAGTAGCATGTATAAAATATAGTAGTTTTTTAGTGCTACTAACCTACTACTGCTATTAGTGGCTTAGTGCTATATAATCTACCTTTAACTATTAGAGAATATAATATAGTAGATTTTTGTAGTGCTATAATCTATATTTAACTATTAGAGAATATAATATAGTAGTTTTTTAGCTCTATATGCAAATAATCTATCTTTTTAAGTATGTTATTAAAGATGCAAGATTATATAAACATATGAATGATATAATATAGTAGTTTTGTATCCATGTTAAACAATAAACAATTGTATGCATGCAACTCTGCAAGTGGCAACTGTACCTTAAATAATTACTCTAGTTGTCAAAGTACTCAAGTGCATATATATTACAATAGTTTCATGCAGAATAAACACGAATCTCAATTAACACCATGAGTTTCCACTCCATGAAATTATGAAAATATAATACATTTATACAATTAATAAAATTATGTAATGAAACTTAAAAGGAATTTAAAATACTCGTTACCTTTGCCGGCTCAAATCAGCAATAGTACTCCACTTTGCCTAAATTGATGATAATAATATAGAGAGGCAAATCAATTAATCAATCATAAGAGACTTTTGGGAATTTGGGATGATGGGGTTGCAGACTTAGAGAGTTTAAGGTTGTAGTTTTCTTGAGAATTGCGAAAATGGAAGAAACTTTAAGGGTTTTTCAACAGTGACGTTTTAATTTCCCTAGAAGTAGTTTAGAACTTTAGAAAGTTTAATTCCAAGGGTTTTTGTTAGTAATTAACGCAGCCCACATTAATTTTCATATACATAAAATTGGGTTTCGGTCTGGTCTGGGTTTTTTCCGGGTTTTGATCGAACCGGACCGAAACCCAAAATTTTTACTTTTTAAAACCGAAGATCGGACCGGTTATATTTGGTCTGGACCAGTCCGGTCCGGTCCAAAATTTTGGTCTAGCCCGATTTTTGCACAACCCTACCTGTGGCCACTCTCCATTTAAGCCACCCTGACTTAATCTCGTGGGTCACGTCTTGATCAATATCACCTTTTTTCTGGATGATTGACCCAAGTTATTTAAAACATTCACTCATGGTCAAATCCTTTCCATCCAAACTTACCACCTCATTGCTTGTCCCCCTTTGAGTACCTAAGCGGCATACTAAATATTCAGTTTTACTACGACTTAGCTTAAACCCTCTAGATTCCAACCTTTGCCTCCATTGCTCCAACTTGACATTAACCCCATCTTTACTTTCATAAACTAAAACAATATCATCCCCAAACAGCATACACCATGGAACTTTATCTTGAATTGGTCTAATTACTTCATCTAGAACCGTTGAAAAAAGAAAAGGGCTTAATGCAGACCCTTGATGCAATCCAATTGTAATAGGAAAATCTTTTGTCAACCCTCCACATGTCCTCACATTTGTTGACACATCCCGATACATATTCTTAACCAGATTCACATACCTTCATGGAATACCTTTCTTCAACAATTCCACCAAAGTACCGCTCTTGGCACCTTGTCATATGCCTTCTTTGAATTAATAAAGACCATATGAAGATCCTTCTTTTTTACCCTATAAAACTCCCATCATCAGTCTTATCAAATGGATTGCTTCCATATTGGATCTCCCTGTCATAAAACCAAATTGGTTATCCGAAATACTTGTGCATGCCCTCAACCTATGTTCAATCACTCTTTCCCACAACTTCATAGTGTGGCTCATAAGCTTGATCTCTCGATAGTTAGAACAATCTTGAGCGTCTCCTTTGTTTTAATAGACCGGGACCAAGGTGCTCTTCCTCCAATTTTGTGGAATTCATGTAGCTTAATCTAAGGGTTTCTTAGGGTTCTTATGTTATAAAAGAACCATTGAGTTTTAGGCTTCATTAAGCTAATTAAGCCATTATTGACTCCTTGTATATTCCTCTTGTTTCCTCCATTAAAGTGAAGAAAAGCTCTCGAATCCCCCACCTGTGGAGTATACTCCTCTTGTATATTCCTCTTGTTTCCTCTTGTATACTCCACATAACTTCTTGTGTGTTTATGTTATCCTCTTTATTGCTTTCACATATATTATTTTTCGTTGATCTTGTTCCGCATAAATCAAAAATTTATACCGCCTATTTCATAACAGAGTCAGTGTGCAAACTGAAAGCAAACAGTTAAGCTTAAGAATTGAGACTTTTTTCCCTCGGCTTGTGCACAAAGGTGATTTGATTAGAGTGTTCTGATGGATTAAATTTTGATTCCCTTCTCTCACAATGCTTTACTTTATACATATCAGTGTATATCATGTTAAGGCTCACAATGTCAAAAGATAAGAACAAACTATCTAGTTATTGTAGAGAAGGCTGTTTGCGTTGTGCAGCCATGTTTGTACATTGTTTTTTGCTCTTATGATATCGGTTCTTTTTTTTTTTTTGGGAATCGTTGCCTGCAATAATAATGATTCTTTATGATAGTGTAGATTGCTATCAAGTTTCCAGTACCCGCTTATTGCGAAATCCCTAGACTGATAGAAAACCTTGCTTCAAGCCTCAATGGTGGTTCACTAATGGATGCTCAAATTAGGGACAGGTGATTTCAAAGTTTAAGCTCCTTCATCTTTTTTGGCTTTTCTTTTTACATATTTTGGACGTCATATCTGTTTATGCTATTTCAATTTCATCGCTATTAGTACTTAATTCAGTTATATTTTGTTATTGAATCTGCTTTTATCAATTAACTCTATTTTTTTTTTCTGTTAGCCTGTACAATTTCAGCATAGTTACTTGTCAGCTAGCACTCAGGCTCCCAAATGGAAAGAGAGAAAGTGGAGAGAGTAATGTTGGGGGGGGGGGGGGGAAACATTTCAAATGACAGCGATCTATGTGTTTTAATATTTAGGCCACTGATAAAGTCCCTCATAAGCTGGTAATTATTGCCTATAGTTTAACATTTCAAATGATACTGTCCTTATAGATGCTATATGGCCTATTTTGATATCAAAGAGAGTATTGCTCGCATCTAGCATTGAACTGATGTTTTTGTTGCTGGTATACTTTCAGAAGGTTGAGTTCCTAAAGAAAGGAAGCTTTAGTCCTGCTGAGCTTGAGGCTCTGGTCTCCATCATGCAAATAGCTGAAAAGGCCAGGGCAGAGCAAACCTGGAGAAAGAAGTAGTTCTGGAGGAACACCATCGACAAGTAAATCAATTACTAGTTTGGAAGCCATGGGCGTACGTGTATTCGGCCTTGATGAACCACTTGTTGGTAATGCCAATGAAGAGGTATCATGGGATACCATTGCTGGCTATGATCAGCAAAACAGGTATTTAAAATTCGGGGCTTTGACACATTGTTTAACTGAAGGACTTTTAAGAGATCTTTGATATGTTCTGCATGTACTTGTGAAGTAATAGTCATTGAATGTCAAGTAATTAGGCTCAGTAGGGGATGAATTGTAAATGTGAAGTAGGGGAGAGTGATCTCCTTGACCTTTTATGTGTGCCTTTTATCTAATAGTTGCAACTGCAGTGTCTCAGTTAAGATACTTCATATATAAGAGACAGCTTATTTAATGAGATTACTACATACTTCGTATGTGACTCCTAAAATTCTGCCTGATCAACATTAATGATTCATAAACCCTTTTTTCTTTACTCATTTTCTCTCTTATAGGGAAATAGAGGATACTGTATTATTGACTCTGCGTAGTCCTGAAGTTTATGATGACATTGCCTGTGGGACTCGGCGAAAATATGAGTCGAATAGACCCCGAGCCGTGCTTTTTGAAGGCCCTCCAGGTTTTCCTTCTATGATAACTGAAACTATGCTGTGAACACATTTTGTCTTGTGTATGCCCATATTATAAAGGAAATAACAAACTATGTTTCCCATCTTGTGACCGTCAGTCTTATGCATATACTTTGTGCTTAGGTACTGGGAAAACATCTTGTGCTCGTGTTATTGCTAATCAATCGGTAAGCCTTTATTCTCTGTAATGATCTTTGATGATGGATTTGCTGCCCTTCATCTAGAATGATATATATTTCACGAGTGTTAAATGTACTTTTTTATTTTTTAGGACTAATGTTGTCTCATACCTTTCCAGCTGTGAAATGACCAGTCAGTCTTTCATTACATGTGATAAATATATAATAATTAAATGCAGTTTGTTGAAGAATTATGTATGTTACATATTGTTGGTTTACTTATGTGGTTTCATAGTATTGTTATTTATTTGAGTTTCATAAACAGAATGAATTATCAAGGCCCTGCAGTTGGAATGCAGTATATTCTTCCAGTCAATGGACTTGATAGATTATTGTGGATAAGAAACTAGGCTGCTTATATGAGCATGTGATCAATGAAACACCTGACAGTTAGTCCATTGAAAAGAGTTGAGGCTGCAAAATTGTAATCGTGATGTTCGTGTTCTTGGTCTGAAAGACCAAAATGAAGTGTGGAGTGTCCATATCCACGTTAAGTGTCCTTTAAATTTACCCACACCTACTTTAGTCACTCAAAACTTCACATGAAATTACATTATTGCCTTAAAATTTTGGGAAAGTAGTTAGAATTATCATAATACTCCAGACATGAGAATTACATAAAGTTAACCAAGCAAACATAGAAAGTTAATTCATGGGAAATATAATATCCTTTATGTCAACCAAACATGATTATAGTATTTCCTAGGAATTTTAACTTCCCATGCATTGTAACTTCTTATAGGTATTTAATTCCCATATGCAACCATATGAGGCCATATTCTTTTTGTCCTTTAATTAGGCCACATTTTCTCAGGGACCATCTCATGAATTTAGCTGAAATACCGTATAATCTTCATCATACTAAGGTAGTACATAGTTGGAACTCTTATAAGGTTATCATTAAGAGGAAATTTGGAAAGTTCAAACTTTGACTTGTTATAATTTAAGAAAGTGGCATATTACTTTGGGGCAATCTAAAATAGAAGTGGCTTATTATGTTAGGATGGAGGATATACCTAGTTTCTTGCAGCTCATTTAGCATTTCATGGACAGTCTCAATTAATCTATTTACTAAGATGACCATATGTGAATCCGTGCAGGTTGATTCTTTTTCTATTGCCCGTGATGGTGATATACATGAAGTTACACGGAGAATTTTATCGGTGTTATTGAGGCAGGTAAAGCAGTCTTCAACTTGGCAGGAGTTCTGAAGATTGAAATTGTTCATATGCTAGTTGCTAGCTAAGTACTTTGACCATGCCTCTAGGCCTGGAGTTTGACAAGTATTAGAATAATTGTTTGAAGTGATAGAATGAGAACATGATCTGTTTATAAACTCCTTTGAACTTGAGATGCAGAAGGCCAAGAACTAAATGAATGTTCTGCTTTTGCCTTTATCAGCCGCTTAGTCCTCTCCAACTAGCCATCTCTCTCTGTGTATTGTGCTTTTCATAGTTCCTCTTAGCTTTGTCATTCTTGAAAATACTTTCAGACCAAGCCACACCTCATAATCTTCCGGTTTGGCGTGATCGAGCCAGGAATCTGCTCTCTAACCCTTTCCAAATCGAGCCTTCTCTTGACACTCAATGACATCTTGCTCCTTTAGCCTGTCAAGAGATTACTTAAAGTCTACTGTGGATTAAAAATTTAGTGAGTGCCAGTTGAAATTTTTTTAACTTCTAATTTCAGCCAATTTTCGTGTTGCAAAGATTCTCAAAAATTGTATTTGTGTGAAGTTTAAGTTATACTTCCTCCGCTCCTCTAATATTGCAACATGGGGAGGGGACACGGATTTTAAGAAGAGGAGCAAGATATAGAGAAATAAAGATAGGGACCCATGAGATGAGTAAAGAGAAAGAGAGAAAACATGTGCAAATAGGGAAATGTTGCAATATTTGTGAAACGGAGGAAGTACTTATTTAGTTATTTTATAAACCAAGACTACAGTTCTGTATAATAACTTTTTTGGTACAGATTGATGGTTTTGAACAAGATAAGAAGGTGGTGGTGATTGCTGCAACAAACAGAAAGCAGGATATTGATCCTGCTCTTATTAGGTACAGTAAATGCTACTTAATCTATTAAGAAGCCTTCTTCAAATCTTATTTGCATTTTCATACTTAAGAGGCAAAACAACAATTTAGTTCCTTGACCATCTCTGCATTTTATTTTCAGCCGATATGATTCAATGATTTTCTTTGGTCTGCCTGATCAGCAGAATCGGCAGAAAATAGCTGCTCAGTATGCCAAGCACCTGACCAATTCTGAACTGGATGAGTTTGCTTCGGTCACTGAAGGGTAAGCGAAGTTCAACTGTTTTTGCACTGATTTGCATTGAACATTGGATATGGATTGAATGATCATGGAATTATAGATAAATATCAAATACTACGTATGTGCATTTGGTCATATTCTTGTGGAAATTAATAAATACTCCATTTTCTCTTCATAAATTAAATATTCGCTGCTTCCCTTCTAAATTTTGAGTTTAAGTTTCTTTTCACCTTAAAGTTCTAAGTTCAAGTTTTTAAACAAAACTTTGGAGATGTATGTTCAAGTTAGTACATGGGCCATTAGGTTTAATAAAGGCTACCAAATTCCAGTTTACAACTAAATCAAGTTTAAAGAGGGTGTTTTGAGCTGAAAAGAACAAAGTGGAATAAGCAAATAAAAATGCTACCTTTGTTTATAGTGATGATCATTGCTCTGAATTCTCTTAATTTGTTCCTTTTCCACAATCAGCTTGTCTGGACGGGATATCAGAGATGTATGTCAACAGGCAGAGGTTGCTGGTCGTCCAAGGTAGGTTTTCTTCCCCCCCCCCCCCAGCTCCCTCTGAAAATATTCCTTCGTTTCAAGGCAAACTTGCACCTTCATAGATGTTTGTAAATGTGTCATAATTGAAAAGAAACTAATTGTACTATCAACAGGTTATTCGGAACAAAGAAATTAACACTTCTATTGACGCTAAAGAAAGATCCCTTCCGTCTCTACAAGAATATATCAAAAGTGCAATATCTGAGAAGAAAACCCTGTTTGAGATTGAAGAGCAAAGGAACCAAAAACAGAGTCATCGCCTTGATAAGCGACATTGGACATGAGTTGATGGGATATTATAGATTTGGCATCGAGCATAGCGTGAATCATATTGTATTTTGACTCTTTGTAGGGAGTATGTAGGAAGATCTCTACCCATATTGCGGTATACAACATCAAGTGTTTATACTTGTTGGTTAACGGCCAAATCATCCACCCGTATAGACATTATATTCCCTCCGCCCACTATTATCTGCAACAAATCTATTATTTGCGGTCTCCTAGGCAAAACTTTTAGTAGAGTGTAATTAAGTGGAAAAAGGAATGAATGGCGTGGTCCCCCCTCCCCCCCCCCTTTTTTTGTTTGCTGGTAATCAAAGCTAAAAAGAGGGAATGTACTTTTCCCTCTCAATTTTTTGGAGAAACATTTGAATTTTCAGAATTTCACATAAGGTTTGAATTTTTTTTCATTTCACTTCAATTTTTTCCGTCCAATGGATATTTTCAACCATTTATGCCTCTAAAGGCATTCACCATTCATTGTTCACATTCATTACATACCTAGTCACCATGGGCATTAAATACTCAGCAATGTTTGTTCAATAGAAACCCATTAATTACATCCATAATTAGTCAAAAGCTACTTGCCTAATATGTAATTAGTCCTAAACTAAGGGCAGCATTAGGTTTTGCTTCATTACCACTTTAAAAAACAACAGCAGCCAAAAAACTTCATCACAAGAATTTTTTGGAATTGAACAGCTTTTAATGGAACAATTGGA